TAAGAAATGAGAGTCCATGCAGTATTTTTCAGCAAGAGATGCAAGCTAATTCAAGTCCTTCAAGAGTGTAACGAAATATGAAAAAGTCACATGTATGCCAATTCCCTCGTTGAATTATAGGCACCTCATTTAGGTGGGAAAAGATCAAACCCTTGACCTTTAGTTAATGATGGATGAGTCCCTTCGATCCACTCAACCACACCCTCTAAGTTGCTTGAAAGTCCATTAGACATACAATTACACATAAATTGATTTTACCCATTGCACATCCTCATGTAATAGCTGTGACTTGTTAGTTTCCTTCCATTGATAAATCAAAATACATGAAAACGTGCATGTACCAATCTGATTTTACCCATTGCACATACTCATGTAGTAGTTGTGACTTGTGAGTTTCCTTCCATTGATAAATCAAAATACGTGAAAACGTGTATGTGCCAATCCATTGATAAATCAAAATACGCAAAAAAATGTGTCACTCTTATATCTGAATTAATATAGTAGAACACTTATATAGTACCAGAATGATCTTATTCAATCAGACATATTTATAGGATAGGAAAAATTTTACGTAGATAGTTTAGATGACGACCTACCAATTTAACCTTTTTTTTTTTTGTCAAATCATTAGCTGTCATGAGAAGGTCCTAATTATTGTAGGAGATACTCCCTATTCATACTGGACCGGCCCAATTAAGAGGCAATATGAGAGGGGATTCGAACTCCCAACTTCTCTTAAGGAAGGAGGGTGCACGACCATTCAAGCCAACCAAGCTGGTTCCATTTTAACCTATTTCATCAACGTTAACGGATTCATATTTATTTAGTCATAGACTTTCGTTTTTAAAAATTAAAAGATATTAATCAATGGCCAATAGGATATCTAGCCGACAGCAAGGCATTCTTAATTAACATAATCAAGACAAACATTTTTTTTTTGGTCGAAATCAAGACTTAAACATTGATAAACAATAACGTTACCTACAAGGCTACAAACGTTGACATTCACTAAGCATTTATGTACATCATTAAATATTTCAAAAACACTCTTGGAAAAAAAATTATTTTTAAAATTGCATCAAATAATTTATATGCATTAATTACTTCTCCCACTAGCTTGACTAATAAGTATAATTAAAAGTTAGCAACCTAACCACACCCCATAATGGCATAATCGTACGTAGTTATTTAATAAGATGGTGCCCGCCTCTAAATCAATTAAAGCACTGTTGTTGATGTTGTATTGTTGTACATTTTTATCATATTCATTTTCATCTTCTTTTTTTTCTTCTCAAAAATGATCCCATCTGATCCAACCCTATCTAAGAGAGTTCACTAGTTTGATAGTCAAAACTTTGTGAGCATGTTTATTAACTTAATTGTGATAATATTTTTTGACAAGTTTTGTCGGTAATTGATGTTGTCAATCACTTTCAACGAATAATTAGTAATAGCAAATTAAAGATCATAATAATCAAATAATAGCAAATTTCGAACGTGATTTCTAAAGTACTCTATTCTATAACAAATCTCTTATAAATTCTCAACGAATTTCCAATGTAGTATAACTTTCCAATTTACCTACTAACATACCGGTACATCTAATTAAAAAATTGATTTTAATTTTTTTTTTTTTAAAAAAAAAAACAAATTAAAAAACTCATCATTATTTTGATTTTTGATTTAACGAGCGATGTTAATTTTACCAATAATTTCAGACGTCGAAAATTTCATCACTAATGGTCTTCTAACAAAATTTAGCATGTTAACAGCGTACTTTGGTACGTCAAAATTCTGCTATTTTTTGGTTATGGATTTCAGATCCCCAAAATAGTCAAAAAGACTACATCCGTTCAGAAGTTTTTATTTTTTCCACAAAGTTTGAACTCATCAATCATTTCACTTAACCGATAAGTGTTATCTAAAGTGAAAACGATTTGAGTTACTTAAACATATTATATAAAGTCGAGAATTATTTGACCTACCCGGAATTACTCTCAAGTCGTCTCAATGGGGTGGTGTTTTCATTAATGCACTTTTTAATTTACTTGAAGCTTTAATTTAATGCCACGTTAAAGTTTCCATAGTCATATATATTGCACCATTATATTGATTTATGGATCTTACATGAATATGACCTCTCAATTATATACACAACGGAAAGGGCACTGCACGTAGCTGATCTATCATCACATGTTTCCCTCTTTAATTTATTTCTTGTGAGACTAAGGCATTTACCATAAACGGTAGCAAGAATTTCGTGACACTACTCTTTCTTACTCACCTTCAATTCCCTTCCTAACATGCTTCCTAAATCCTACCTATATCCATCTCAATATTATCTCTAACCACACTAATAACGCGATTGAGTTACAGTGTTATAAGTTGCTCAACAAAGGTTTGGAGGGCCGAACTGAATTTAGCATCATGCCATTGAGAAGTGTCGTTTTGACTGCTACTATATGCAAGTATAAGTTTTTTTTTTTTTGAAAAAAAAAAAAAAAAGTTGTGTCTTTGCTAGTTTAACCTTTATTAGGTTCGTTTAAAAAAAAAAAAAAAAATCTTAGTTGTTGACTTTAAAATTGACTAAATTCAACACCTAATTTTAAAATGTTGTCACTTTTAGTGTGCATATAGAGCCATAGACTAGTACTAAATCTGGTATAAAATTTGGTTCTTGACTTATAAAAGCTAACAAGTTTTTTAACCATTTTGGTTGGCGTGGGTGGCTGTGCACTCTCGTCCCTTAAGAGAGGTCGGGAGTTCGAACCCCGTCTCGTATGGAAAAATCAATTTGTCCAGCACTTTGCCCCTTAATCAGTGCGAACGGAGATTAGTCTGAGGATGGTATGGGCCTAAAGGTGCCTCCTATAATTAGGGCATGTCTAGTAGTCTGAGTATGGTACGGGCTTAAAGGTGTCACCTATAGTCCTATAGTTAGGGCCTGTCTGGTACATACGAGCGGGCTTAAAGGTGTCACCTATAGTCCTATAGTTAGGGCCTGTTTGGTACATACGAGCTTAAAGGTGCCCCTTAATTAGTGCGAACGGAGATTAGTCTGAGGATGGTACGGGCTTAAAGGTGCCACCTAAAAGTGTTTCATATAGTTAGGGTCTATTTAGTTCGAGACTTAGCTTGAGTGAGAGTAAGGTGCCACCTAAAAGTGTTTCATATAGTTAGGGTCTATCTAGTTCGAGACTTAGCTTGAGTGAGAGTGGTAAAACTAAATGCGACAATGTGGAGTGCAACTTTGAGTCTCACGTTTAGGATGAGAGTGGTAAAACTAAATGCGACAATGTGGAGTGCAACTTTGAGTCTCACGTTTAGGATGATAGAAGATGTAGATTCCTCATTCCTTGTGCGCACATGAAGACTTGCGTACATGAAGACTAGGGTCTGATTACACGTAATTGATTGAAGACTAGGGTCTGATTACAAGTAATTGATTGCGCAAGGGTCTGATTACACGTAATTGATTGCGCAAGGGTCTGATTACACGTAATTGATTGCGCAACTCACTATTTATCTTTGTAGTGGTTAGTTCTAGAGACAGAGTCTTGTGGATGGGTTTATGATTAGTTTGAGGAAGCTGGAATACTAGTACAAATTATTATTGAGTGTAGTTGTAAAACTCTATGACTACGTTAGGAAGGTACGGCAGCATGGAGTAGGGGGCAGGGCAAAATTATTGCATTATTACTAACATGTATGCGAAATTGATCATATCATTTGGGGTCCTCATTAAATGGTAGCTTTCAATTCATTCAATGCTAGTATAGGAGTAGTGTCACCATCTCTACTCTTTATTTTCCTCATAATTATTCTTTCTATTATATCGGTGATTCATAATGTAATAGCTCTGCTCAAACACGGTGCAAATTTAATTTTTCTTCCCCCATCATGCAATGCAAACATTAAAAAATTAAATTTTATATATAGTATATATAGTGATCGTTAAAATAATAAAAAAAAAAAAAAAAAATCTTAGCTTGTCACATACATTAATTTATTTGAGAAAAATAAAGAAAGAAAAAAAAATTGCAACCCTTTTTTTGGGTTAATAGACTAACGTACGTTGCATAAATTGTGAGTTGAAAATTTGTTTGTGTCTAATAGTGTTATTAAATTTGGGCATTTATATGCTACGCAGAATGTATAACAAACATATATTATTACATGGATCATGGTCCATACAATTATGTGGATCATAAATAAAATGTACATTTTTAACATATTAAAAGTACATTATTTCTATACATAAAGTATATTATTTGAGTACTAAAAGTACATTATTTTATATAGATAATGTACATTCAGTAGAGAGTAAAAGGTATAATTATATTATTATATTCCAATAGAATATTTTGGCAACTAGAACAACTTTAAAGCTTCAATTTTTTAGACGATTAAGCAAACCCGTATTTACTATTAGAGGGTATACACTAAGTAAACTTAACTTATGTATAATAATGCACAAATTACACTAAAAAATAAATTGCACTAAGAAGACATTGTGCGACGAACTCAATCAATAAAGTGTTGGTTAGATAAAACTCTCATTTTAATTTATAAAGTAGTGGTTGATGTGATGCAATAACCACATATATACACAAGATAATACAACAGCTAAGAATCGTATACACATTATTATTAAAAAAAAAAAAAAAAAAAAAAAAAAAACCAAAATTGATGAAACATTTATTTAACTTGACTTTTCAATAAGGTGGCAACTTATAGTTCACTAATAATATAATGTACTAGATTATGCACTATATATAATACTACATCAAACATTTACTCTTCATTTAATTTCCAATAATATATACCCCAACATTGTACATAGTACATACAATAATTCATCTAGTATAGGGCATAGTCTAGCTAGCTAGATCAATTATATGTGATAATAATATATGAATGTACTTATAATATATTAAGAGAATCAAAACGCAACTTTTATTGTAGAAATTAAATTACATCCACTAGAGTTCATAGTACAATTTGATGGTAAACTATGCTCTTTTTTAAATAGCATGTCTACTTGAAATATAATCGCACCAGATTCTCGATTTTTATCTAAGAAATTACAGTAATAAAGAGAAGTAAAGAGAAGAGATTCTGCCATTTTTTTCAGAATCTCTAACAAAACAACTAGAAAGACAAGCAATTAAAGTCAACATTTAGTTCACAGTTATAAAAGACAAAGAAAAATGATGATGATGATGAGTAGGGTCTTTTGCCGACTAGGGTTACCAAGTCAGGTTTTCCGACTAGGGTTATCAGGTCGGGTTTTCCGACTAGGATTACCAGGTCGGGTTTCTTGACTAGGGTTACCAAGTCGGGGGTGATGATGATGAAACAGTATTGATTTTATTGTCATGAAAAGATTGTTGGAAGCTCCATGACTGCAACTTGATCCTCTCCATCTTCTTCTTCTTCAACCTGCGCTGCACTTTCATCCAACAGCCATTTCTCAAGAAACGATAATGGCGGAGGGTTATCATTATCATTACCTTCCTGCACATTCTGCTTATTATTCCCACTCTCCATCCCATTCATCAAGCTCCCAAACGTCAGAATAGAATCCAAATACTCCTCCTTCGGGATCACCCCATTGTTGTCGTCGTTGCTCCCCGCTAATCCGCCGCCCGCCGCCGCCTCCGGGCGGTTCTGGTCGTCTTCTTCCTCCTCCTCCTCCCGGCCGCCGCCGTGGGAGGTCGCCGTCGTCAACCCCTTGGATGAAGAAGACGAGGATGAAGCTCTCATCCACCCCTCCAGCAGCCTGGAAATGTTCTCCGCGCTCGAGGCGTAGAGAGACGATGAAGAAGTGGCGATCTGTGGCCTGTCGGTGAAGCTGTTCTTGGAGACAAGATGATGGTGATGGTGGTACGATGTGGCGCTGGTCGGGGAATTCTCTGATCCCATCTGCGCGTTGTTTTCGGAACCTGGAGACTGCAACTTCTTCAGCTTCTTCTTCAGATGGGTGTTCCAGTAGTTCTTGATGTCGTTGTCTGTCCTTTGTGGAAGGTATGAAGCTATGGCTGCCCACCTATACATGACATAACACTGTCAAATCTATGTATCTATAGCCTGCAATACCTTACATAGTACCCGACAATACAAGAAATCTGGTAGAATTGGCAACCAACTAACTTGGTTAGCTTGTTAGTTTGGTTACAACTTCTAATACAACCAGGCCTATTACCTTTCTTGGTTTGAATTGATCAACTATTGGCAACTAGGTTGGTTTATCTTTTTGTGGTCTTTTATTAACTAAGGTTACAAGACTGAGTTTACCCACTGCACAACCTTAAATGGTAGTTGTAGGTTTCCTAGACTGGTTTATTTCCGGCTAAGGTCACAAGGTGAAGTTTACCCCTAAATACCCTTAAATGGTGGTAGCAAATTTTTTAGACTGGTTTACCTTCTTGTGGTACTTTGCCAGCTAAGATCACGAGGGAGGGTTTATCCCATGCACACTCTCAAGTAGTGCCAGTCGGTTTCCTGAGTTAATTTACCTTCTTGTAGTCCTTTATTAGTTAGAATCACAATACAAATTAAAGTTTACCCAATACATACTCACTCTCAAGTAACTATAGATTTCCTCGTCACTCAAAAACCAAAGAAATATGGTAAAAGCCACAAAAAGATGACTATTATTAGGATATGAACAAACATTACTTGTTACCCAATAAGGCTTGGAGATGGATGATCATCCCTTCTTCATGTGGGGTAAAGTTGCCTCTTTTGATCCCAGGCCTCAGATAATTCGTCCACCTCAGTCTGCAACTCTTGCTGCACCTCAACAGCCCTAAGTTCATACGTACAAATCTCAATTATTTCCCCCACCAAACACCATAAAAAAAAATAAATAAATAAATAAAAAAATTAAAAAAAAAAAAACCCCATCACAGTACGACACCCAAGAAATAAAACCTTAGCCAGATCCAACCCACAAACGTTGTTGGTCTGCATGAATCTGCAGAACAGCTAGAGAACTTAACACACAATGAATGAATGAATAACCTGTGTTGGTGGGAACAGATCGCCAGTTGCCGGGGCCGTGTTCCTGGATGTAAGAGACTAAGATGATGTCTTCTTCGGGAGTCCATGGGCCTTTCTTGATGCCAATCTTGTCGCAGCAGGGAGGTCTTCCCATGGCTGCCGCGAGAGAAGAGAAGAGGGAGGCCGGAGAAATTAAGGCCGGATTATTATTGGGTTTTGCTTTGCTTGCTACTTCTGGTGTATATATGGTGTGGGAGTCGTAATAAGAAGGGGTTTTGCTTGGTATATATAGCGACGTGAACTTAGAAATGTGGGTTCTTTAAATAAAAGGGAGGTGATAATTGATAATAACGCAGGCTGCAGGCCGGGTGGCTTTTATTGATTGAGGGGTATGACTCATCTTCAACCATTACTGCTGCCACTCTACTACCTCCGATCCGGGTACCTCTTTACACTCACGTAATCAACTTAACATTATTAGAGATTTTTCATTTAAGATTTTAAATTAATATATGGGATATTGGATAAATAGCTGTTAGGCGATTGTGCTACTGGGTTGACTAGTTGATAGTATCAGCTGATTATAAAAAAAAAAAATGTTTGGTAAATTAGCTGTGCTGGTAGCTGATTAATGTAAAACGACTTTGGCAAAAAAGTTATTTTGAGCCACCTTTTTAATTTTAACGTTTTGGAGCAATAAACTGTTACAAAACACTTATATTGATTGTCAAAGCGCTAATAATGGTCAAATAAGCCAAAATTAACTGATGATAAACTAACTTCGTGAAAAATTTTATGCTTGTTGATGATTAGAGAATTCGGTAGTTATTATCTCAGAGTGTATACTTAGTAATTTTAAAAGGTGGTTGGGATACTCCTTAAAAGAAAGTGTGGTTTAGGGGTTTAATTAAAACAAAAATTAAATCTGAGGAAAATAAAATATAGGTTATTATTTCCCTTTACGTGTATGATATTTTTCATTTTTAGATTCATTTGAAAAAAAAAACTTAATTATGTGAAAAAAAATTGATCAATAAATTATTCGTACTAGTGAATATTTATTTACAAGCTAGCTAGATAGTAGTATTAAATTGAATCTTTTAATTTTAAAAGATGGCATTGAAAAACTCTCAAAATTAAAGTATTACACACACAGACGGAGTATATATTATCATAAATAATTATAATATTATTGAATAATAATGTTAAATTTTAAGTAATTTAAGATTAATTAGTATGTGATCTAAAAAGTTGGAGAGTGGATATTTGTGTGATAAATTAAGAAAATTTATAATCACTATTCAAGAGTTTACACTAAGTAAATTATGTTCGTTCTATTCAATACTTTACAAATCAAATAAGAGAGATAAATTATATTAAAATCGTCACGTGTAACAAATTTAATCAAAAAAATATTTATAAAAATTAAACTTATAAATATTTTCAATTAAAATAAAAATTAAACTTATAAACTTTTTTTTAGTACGAGAGTTGTATTTCATTATATTCCCTCAACCACTTTTTTTCAGACTTAGAAAAATAGATATTTGTGCAGCGGCGTAAGAAAGTCAACATGGGCAACCCATGTCCGATGAAAGTTGAATTGCTTCACTCGCCTCCCCTTGATCACGTGACTACCTCTTTTTCTTTTTCTTTTTCCCTTTTTTTTCTGTTCGTTTTATTATTTCGCAGCAGCCAGTTGGTATAGTAAATACTTGCTACTTACTCGTAGTGTTGGCGGTGAATTTTTATCCACTTGGATCGGGGCAACATAAGGACCGTCAGATCAACCCGATCTACTTTGGGTGAGCTGGTTTTGTTTTGTTTTATTTATTGTTATTTAATTCTTTATATATGTGGTTTATATTTGAGGGTTGTATGTACATTAATAAATATCTAAAGTCATGAGCTTAAAAATGTTGTAGGTTGGATTTTAGAGAAAAAAAAAATAAAGTCAAGATCATTTCAAACCAATAAAATAAGCAAAGAGGTGTAGACGTGTAGTTGTAAATTATTCGAAAAATATCATACACGTAAAGAGAAAAATAATTTCACGCCGTTCAATTTTCACATTTATTGACTTCTATATGAATATGATTAATTGAATAAAGTAATATTTTTTTTATTGCACTCAAAACTAATAAGCTAGGGTACCGTCGATGTTGAGATTATAACTCCATTCAGAGATGATTTGAAAAGTAAAAAAGTTTAAACCAATTATTATATCATGTACCATGGTTCACGTTACAAGATAGACCGTTGGCATACATGTTCATTGTTAATATACTAAATGTTCATTTTCAATGTATTATAAATTTATTTTTAGTGTACTGTAAATTTATTTTTAGCATATACTACATAAAAATAAACTTTTATCAGTGATATACATTATATATGAACTATCCCCAATATAATTTGTCAATTTAAAATTTTTTGATAATTTAAAGGGTGATAAATTTATTATTAGTTTTGTGTCATTTGGCATATGTTTTGATTTTAAAGAGTTATTTCTTGAATGGTGAAAAACGTATTGTAGTCTAGAGGCAGTGGATTCTTAAATCTTTTCCCCAAACGAGTAAAAATGCATAAAATTTAATTGTTATGTTTTTAGGAAATATCAAATATGTTAACTAATTTTTATAAGAAAGCTACATATTTTTTGTAATTACGTTATCATAAATTATTAAATTTAATTGACAAAATAGTAAGACTTTTATGTGGAATTAAAAAAAAAAAAGTTATTTCCATTTTGGTCCTAGATTTATAGGTGGTCACTTTTAGTCATTTTTTATCAACATTTGGTCATGGTATTATTGTGGCATGAACATTTTTAGTCCTCTATCCACAAAACAGTTTTAATACCATTAAATACAAAGTCATTTCGATCTTTAATTACGAATTTTTTAATAAAATAAACATAAAAATATAACATGGTCAACTCACTTTGTATAAAAATGATCGAAATGCCTTTGTATTTAACAACATTTCAACATTTTGTTGACGAATAATAAAAAATAGTCATATCACAATAATATTAGGACTAAATGTGTATGTTCTGATAAACATGATTAAAAATGAACTGTCACATAAATCTATGATTAAAAATGGAATAACTCAATAAAAAGTATACAATAATTAGAAACGGATCATTTAATATCAAGTACAACTTCCCTAGTTGATGTTAAAATAGACTATCGATCAAAATTAAAGAAAATACAATGATGCAAATGCTTTGGTTTATTTTACATAAGAATACATTTCATAACTTTTTAATGTTCATTACACGGTGCTTGCATGTACTAAGAGAGTTGATTTGATTACATAAGAAGTATTTAGACAAGTAATTTGAGAGTTAAATATTATAAAGGCTCTGTTTGAGAGAGCTTATTTAGGAGTTTATAGCTTATTTTAAGATACTAATAAACTATAAGCTTTGTTTGGTAATGTTCCCAAAATAAGCTCCTAGCTTCCTAACTTTTTTTTCATCTTTATCCTTATTATTTTTAAAAAATGACATTATTTACCCATCTCAATTAAAACCATTTTCTCTTCTCCTTTAATTTATCCGCAACTTTCACCGCAAATACTAATATTAATATTATTATTATTATTATTAGATTTGCAACAATATTGCTACTTCATTATGAGATGCTAGATCATGATTATGCTAATAGTTTTATTTCAAAATGTTTTTTTTTAAAAGACAAAATGTTAAATTTTAATATGTAAACAAACTAATTTAAATTTTATAAACCAGGACTATGTGGTCCAATGGTATCCGGGTTGGACTTCCATTTGGAAGGTTATGAGTTCGAGCTTCAGTGGAGGCGTTATTAGCTCTTTGTGTTTCAGTAGGTTGAGAAAGTATATGAACAGATACTACAATGTAATAGAGCTAGTAGCATTCAAAAAAAAATTAAATTTTATAAAGATGTCATTTTTAGTCTTTTTACATTTATCAGCTTATCAAAAAGTTAATTTTACCAAACACTTTCAATCATAACAGCCAGCTTAACAGCTCTTCAGTTTTCAGCTCCGAGCTTATAGCTTTTCAGTTTTCAGCTCCTAGCTTATAGCTTTTCAGCTAGGTTTGCCAAACAGAGCCAAAATCTTAACTTAATCATGATTCGATATTGCTTCTGGTTCGCAATTCAATTAGTCAACCAATCAAAAATAGTTTCATAAACTTTAGTGTGCTAACAGGCAAGTGTAGAGTTCGAATCATACTAAAGAACCAATAATAATAATAATAATAATAATAATAATAATAATAATGATGGGGGAGTTGCAGGCCAGTTAAAGCAAGAAGGTTTCAGGCGTAGATCAATTGACACATGCATATCCCACGATTTATCTCCTCTACTAATTAACCAATCAAAAATAGTTTCATAAACTTTACTTTGCTAGCAATAAGGTGGTCAATCAAGACATAATTCTCGCAATTTATCTCCTCCACTAGTCAACCGATCAAAAATAGTTTCATAAGTTTTACTTTGCTAACAGTCACATAGTGTAGACTGTAGAGTTCGAATCAAACTAAAGAAAAAAAAAAAAAAAAAGGGGGGGGGGGGGGGGGGTTTGTGTGTGTGGGTGGGGGGGGGGAGGGGGAGGGAGGGGAGTTGAAGGCTAGTTAAGGCAAGAAGGTTTGAGGACTTGTAGGTCAATTGAGACACATCACACTATTTATATCTTTTATAAGTCAATTAATCAACTACAGATAATTTCATAAGCTTTATTTTGCTAGCAGTCGTATACTGTAAAGTTTGTATCATACCAAAGAACACAAAGGAAGAAAAAAGGGGTTCTTTTTGTGTGTGAGGGGGGGGGGGGGGGGGGGGGGGGGTTGTAGGCCAGTTAAGGCAAGAAGATTTAAGGGTTTTTGTAGATCAATTGAGATGCATCCCACGATTTATTTTCTTCACTAATCTCCAAAATGTGTGAAATTAAATTAAATCATAGTCGAAGATTGGCCCCCTCAATTAATTATAATCAAGGTTTTTTTCTAGGGGGGTGGGGGTGGGGTGGGGGGGGGGGGGGGAGCATTCCAGGTCAATTTATTTATAAAATAAACTCATACAAATGTTTCAGATGACATGTAGTGACTCTTCCATATGGGAGGTCATAAGATTGAGCCGCAGTGGAGTCGATGTTGACTCTTTGTGTTTCAATAGTTTAAGAAAGTATAGATGAACAAATACTACAATGTAATAGAATCAGTAGTACTCAAAAAGAAAGATTTAAAAATATAAATGACAATAAATTAATTAATTAAAAAAGAAAAATGTCACTTTTTTCCTGAATTATAAGTTTATAACACATGTTTTTCCTAAATTGTTCATATAAGCACATTAGCCCCTTCAATTATTCTAAAAGTGACGATTTTCCCCTTGATATATTAAATTGACATTTCTACCCTTAAAGTAAACATTTAATTTATTTTTCTTCTCAAACAAATTATTCTTCCCAAAAAGGTTGAGTCCCCAACCCTAAAGGCCCCACACCCCGGCCCAACAAAGTATCTGGGAGGATGTAAATCATGGTAACTCAACCGAACCATAGAAGCTAGACCCCGGCCCCCTCACTTTGAGATCAACAAATTATTATTTATACGTATGGTCTAGATGACCACGGTTCGGTTCGAACTGAACCAGACACTATAGCAATCGAATTGAAAGTTTTCGGTTATGATTCAGATTCATAACCCAATATTTGGATTTTAATTTATTAATATCATGAATCGAAAAAAAATGGATCCTAAACCGTGAATCGGCGGTTTGAATTAGAACAAATACTAGCGTTAGCTTAAAATTAGAGTTATAATATTTACAAATAGTGTATGTTCTTTTTTACATTTATTCTGATTCTCACATATAAGTATATATGACCGCGATTTGATTTTGATTTTGAACCGCCGGTTCACAGTTCCGGATCTAGTTTGAACTGCCGATTCAAACTTTATTCTAAAATTTTATTTTTTATTTTTAAAATAATCTAAATTCAACAATAAATGTATTATATTTTTTCAGTTCGGAACATGAATCGACCGTTCCGATTCGCGATTTTAATAAACTCTAAATATTGTATTTCGGTTCTAAATTGTAATCGGAATATTTCGGTTTGGTTACTATAGTATCTATTCTGTTTGAACCAAATCATGGTTATAATTTGTTGGAGATGAAAAATAAATGAAATATTTTTTGAATGCTACTAGCTCTATTACAATGTAGTATCTGTTCATATACCTTCTCAACCTACTGAAACTCAAAGAGCTAATAACACCTCCACTGAGGCTCGAACTCACAACCTTCGAAATATTTATTTTAAGAGTAAATATGTCAATTTAACATTTCAAGGAGAAAAATTGTTACTTGAATAATTTAAGAGAAAAAATACTATAAGTATATAACTCAGGGGAAAAAGTGATATTTTTCCTAATTAAAATTACAAAATGTTCATAGTTGCAAACTTGCAATTAAGAATTCTAATTAATTTGGTGTTAAAAATTCATTAAAATTAACACATTATCCAATTTATCACTCGTAACATATTTGAGTATGTTCCAACAAAACTAACAGACGAGCTTAAGATCATTAATTGGGACTAAATTTGTACCTAATAAAAACCTAATCACCCAATTAATACTTTGTTCCTACTTGCTTCGAAAAACCATCAAAACTATTACTGCAGTTTTATACTGATTATTAAGAAATCATTACATAACAATGAAACAAATTCAAATATTCAATGATGAGAGACGCTAACGTCCAAATTCATTGAACCAAACACGGAAGCTCCATCATTATCTTAAAAAATTTATTTTATTCATATCCTGATGGAATCGTGGAACCCAGTCAATCAGCTGATCCGTTTCGCTTTTCATCTTTATCTGAAGAAGCTTGATTGCAAAGATGGCGAGCCGGGCGGTTGGCATGGATAACGGCAGGGTTTCTTCTGTCGGTTTCCGATGTTTGGTACGGAGAAAGTCAGTTGACTCCGCGGCAACTCGAGGCCGGGACGATGGAGGACATCCGCGCTTAGCTCGAAAGCTCTCTGTCGTCGACCTCATCGCCATGGGTAAACAATCTAGTGAATTGCTTTACAGCTTAAGCTGTAGTTACTAGTTAGTGCTCTAGCTTTTAGTTAATTGCGGGAATGATTTGGGGTTCCAAATTCCATTTGTGTTAAATTCTGCAAGTTTCTTCAGTTCCATTAGATAGGAGCTGCGTCTAATTTTGTATTTCAATTCTCATGCTAGTGTTTTTGTTGCTATTTGGACTGTATTTTATCAGCTTTAGAATACTAATTTATGTCGTTTCCTGTACTTTGTAAATACGTTTTGATCAATAATAACACTTTGTAAATTAGTATTAAAGTGTATCAATCAGACTTCATTTGAATCCCGTCTGGTCCATAGTTATTAGTTTAAAGTTCATGTCATCCCAATTCCATGCTGCCATTGTCAAGATTGTGTTGTTTTTCTATACTAAAACTGTAAGTAGAATTGTTTTGTGTTATTTGCTGGGGAAAACATCTGTTTATTTAAGCCTTACGGTTGTCGCATTAACTAGTTCCAGTTTTTCTAACAGGCAGAGATGCAGAAATCTCATTCTTGCACTATCGTTTGGGTATATGTGTTCTTTTTTTTGCATATTAAATTCAATAGAAGACAATCATTCAACTCAGAGCTTTGATAATATACTTATCATGTTATAAGAAAGAAAGTTAGAGGTTGATTTTGGAGTATTGGGGAAGTGATCACTTTTATAGTCATGGTTTCAAACCTTAGATTTAACCTCTTGAAAGTTGAAAGACAGGCAATGCCTTGGGGCATTTTACTAGCCTAGGTTCTGTATGGTTCAGAGTCTTTGCGCACTGTTTCTAACCTTTTAATAAGATTAAAATTTGATGTTCAAGCAAAAACTGATATTTGATGTCCCTGACTTTCTTCTGATCAGGTGTTGGAGCAACCATAGGTGCTGGGGTTTATATTCTTGTTGGAACAGTGGCTAGAGAGCACACAGGGCCTTCCCTTGCTATTTCTTTCTTTATAGGTGGAATAGCAGCTGCTCTTTCTGCTTTTTGCTATGCAGAGCTTGCATGCCGTTGTCCATCTGCTGGCAGTGCATATCATTTCTCATATGTCTGCATAGGAGAAGGGTAAATAGGAATTTCTTCAATGTTCTCGGCTAGTCTCTCTTTCTAAAATCTTTGCTTATTTTCAAGATATATTATGGTGTTGAGAGAACATGGATTTTCCATGGAAAGCTAAGAGATTCTTTAAGTTTTCTATGTTTTTCCATATGGCCAATAAGTTTTTAATCAGTTTGTGAAGTCACTTTAATTTTTCTATAGGGTCGCATGGTTAATTGGGTGGGCTATGATACTTGAGTACACTCTTGGTGGTGCAGCTGCTGCTCGTGGCATATCTCCAAATTTGGTGAGTTGGAGTTTCTTAATTTTCTTATTATGTTTCTTTTAAAAAAAAAATATTTTTATTTTTTATTCCTTGAACATTATGTTTTCCCATTCATGGTGTTCCATCTCACTGATAAGATTGGACTTTAAAGAACTTATTTCACTGAAATGTGTCCGAAAAAAAGATAGGATGCTGCTTATGAGTTCTGGCTTTATCTATTCTTGACAATCCTAGTCCTAGAATCATGTTTGCTTGTAATTATATATGTCTTAAATATGTGATTGTGATTTGTAGAGGTCTAAGCTTAAATTCTGAATTTTACTTCACTGCCTCTTAGGTTAATTGAAGTCAACACTGAGTGCAGTTAAAGTTTCCAATGTAATCTTTCTTACTCTTTATCCATTCTATAATTGGATTGGAAGGGTATTGTTACCTTTCTCCGAGGTCATATCCAGTGACAAAAACTGTCATACAGGAAAATTTCAAAAGATGCCATATTAAGCACCATTGCAATTTGCAGGCCATGTATTTTGGAGGTGAAGACAAACTTCCTGCAATTTTTGGTCGTCCAACTATTTTGGGCATCTTAGTAGATCCTGGTGCAGCAGTTTTGGTTCTCATTATCACTGGCCTCCTCTGCACTGGAATCAAGGAGGTGATCTTTAATCTCATGGAAAATTTCATCCTTATGGATTCCCTTCATGTGGTTGCATACTATTAATTTGCATTCATTTGTAACCTATTTGCAGAGCTCTCTTGCACAGACCATTATTACAACAATAAATATCTTTGCTTTGATATTCATTGTCATTGCTGGTGCATACCTGGGTTTCAAGACTGGATGGGTTGGTTATGAACTTCCGAGCGGGTAATGGTACCTTCTGTTTCCATTTCCATAAAATGTTACATACCATAGAAAACAAACTTATTCAAAATTTTGAGTTTCCAGGTATTTTCCATTTGGAGTAAATGGGTTGCTTGCAGGCTCTGCTACAGTGTTCTTTTCCTACATCGGTTTTGATATTGTTGCCAGCACTTCTGAGGAGGTATTGCTTTCAAGTCAGAAATTATTCATTTATAATCCTCCATATAAATTCATGCTTCTGAGTTCTGATTAAAATGCAGATGCTGTATATATTAAATAATACATACTCAATTAGTTACCATCTCTTAATCACATTTGCTATCAGACAATGTTCTAAAACTGATTATCTTCTGTAGAGTATTTTTTCCATATTTTCTAGCCCAACTGGTTTGACCTCCACTAAAAAGACAAATTGCCATTAGCATTATGGAGTATTTGTCTGTAATTACAAAAAAAAAAAAAAAAAAAAAAAAAAAAAAAAAAAAAAAAGTAAAATGAAAACCAGTTAACATTTTGTGTATGACATGATGCCATGCCGAAATAGATTCCACATGAAGGAAACTGCTCCTTGGAAAATTTTATCAGTTGTCCTTGGAAGCCTTAACATTTGTAATTTGTCCACATTTAATAACTTTATGTGTGTCTCTCTCCTCACTACTGCTTTGAGATTACTTGAAGTTTTGGTCTCCATTGCTTCATATGCATTCATGAACCATGCCCCCCCCCCCCCCCCACCTCTCCCATTACCCCAAAACCCACATATGGCTATCTATCTCACTCGGTTCTCTTGGGCAGGACAGGTGAAGAACCCTTCACGTGATATGCCTCTTGGTATAGGGGCCTCATTGGCTATATGTACTATATTATATGTGCTTGTATCAGCTGTGATTGTTGGATTAGTACCATATTATGCTCTAGATCCAGACACACCGGTTTCCTCTGCTTTTGCTAGCTATGGCATGAATTGGGCTGTGTAAGATTAGTACTTTTCAGCAAGATGTGATTTAATAATTCGCTATGTGAAGATTCTTTTTCAGTCTAGATTCATCTTTTATTTTTTTTGTTCTTCTTTTTGTTGTAGTTACATAATTACAACTGGAGCAGTGACTGCTCTTTGTGCAAGTTTAATCGGTGCAATTATTCCACAGGTACTAAGTGGCTCTTTGCTGTGAGCGCATACTATATTATCATAAACTTGAAACATATTTGTCTTTTTGTGATTTTTTATTTTGATTCAATTTTCCATGCAAGGGATATTATCATTGTTGCTTTCTTATATGGAAAAAGTCTTTTTTCCAATCACAGAGTATATAGGTGTCAGCTATTTGATGTTTTGTTCAAGAAATATAGAAAAAACATTTTAAAAAAAAAAAAAAAAAAAACAGAAACTGCTGGGAGTTATGTTTGATAAAAATATACACCAGTCACTGATATTAGAATTTTTATCATTATAGATTCTGGTAACTGGTTTATCTCCCTCTATAGGAACTTTTAGCAATATATTTGACCAATAAAGTTTTCTTTAACTAATGTGCGTGTCCAGTTCTTTTTATTTATTTATTATTTTCTATTATTATTATCTCATCGCCATTGGTGTCATTATCTTTGCTACTGAATTTCCTGCTCCTGAATATTTTGAATTTTTCTTTTGTCTGAATGATAAGTAGCCTCGAATACTGATGGCGATGGGTAGGGATGGATTACTGCCATCCTTCTTTTCTGACATTAGTAAGCACACTCAAGTTCCTGTTAAGGGTACCTTAGCAACTGGGATTTTTATTGCAGCACTGGCCTTCTTCATGGACGTTTCACAATTGGCAGGAATGGTAAGTGTTGGAATGGGGAACCTCAGTAGTCCAAGAAAATATAATGTTTTAAATCATTTAAGAGCAAATTGGAAAGTGTTTTCTCTTTTATGCAGGTTAGTGTGGGAACATTACTTGCATTCACTACTGTTGCTATTTCTGTATTGGTAGTCAGATACGTTCCTCCAGATGAGTTCTCTTTCCCATCATTGCTCCAGCCATCCATAACTCCTGCATCATTCACACAACATAGTAAAGCTCTGCGAATTGGGGATGAAAACACTAAATCCATAAGCATGCCTTATAGTAACAGTGAACATCTTCACCCTGTGGTTGAATGTCCTCTTCTTCCAAAAGAGACAACCCAAGGTATCTCTATTGTTATTGACTCGTGCACTTGTACACAATCAACTGGTTGCTTCTATAAGTTGTGGCCTTGTGCCAATACATTTGCTCAAGCCATTATTTTTTGCTTATGTACATGTATTCTTTCTTTCCCTCCATATGGCGTTAGCATGACAAACTATCATGCAATATTAGAAGGAAGAATGTGAAATCATGAATCTGCCATTTTTTTAATGTCCATAGGTTATATGCCATACCTACTAATACAGGGGGTTGTAGATTTTCCTCATAATATTGTACTTATTTCTTGTATTATTAGCATATTTCTCTCTATCACTATTTGGCTGTTTGTGAACACGTTTGTGACTTTGTGTTTGAAACTTTGTTTTGGTTGCTTCTTAAAAGGATTTCAAGAATTTTTTTTGATTTGTGAATTTGTGTAGATGCCTGCAATGAACTCAGGAGACGAAAAATTGCTGCTTGGGCTATCACTCTAGTATGCGTAGGGATCCTTCTGTTCGTATCTGCTGCTTCAGCTGAGGGTCTTTCCAGGTGGTGATCTGGGTGTAATCTTGAAAATTCTGCTAATCTTGGATATAATCTTCAGAAGTTTTCTAATTTTTTAACAATAAATCTTATACTTGTAAATTGTTCCAGCATTCCCCGCTTTCTAGTTTGTGGAGTTGGTGGCATGATTGTGTTATGCTGCTCGACAGTCCTCGCCTGTGTAGATCAAGCTGATCTGAGGCGGAGATTCAAGAAATCAGGAGGTAAGGTGAATTTGTCAATATTTAAAGTATATTTCCTTGCCGATAATTGTTATAAAATCTTATTCAAAGTTATCTATTCTGAGCCAGATCTATTCTGAGACTGTCAGAGGTGTAGTGGCACTTGCCCCAACTGAACTTTCTAAAATATATACTATCTTATGTATAATTATAAAGTTTTTATTATGAATTCAAATAAATCTATTATATGTTCAAATATCATTTTGGCATACCTCACTTTTATAGAATCTTAAAATAATTGGTGAATATTTGTATTAATGTGTACCTTATATAACCAAGTATGGTATACACTGTACCGGGTGGTGTTGGCATCGGGTATGATCGGTATCATAGAAAATTCCTTAGAAATATATTGCGATTAACAAAGATTGTTTTTACTATTTGTAACAGGTTTTCTCTGCCCATTCGTTCCATTTCTCCCCATCGCCAGCATACTCGTGAACACATATTTGCTGATAAACATCGGGTCATTACTCTCTCTTTCTCACACATTAATACAGTATCATTGTGTACGTTCAATGAACTTATGTTGATAATAATCTCATCTGAAACACAGGGCCGAGACTTGGATTTATGTTTTACTATGGTTGGCAGCTGGAGCGTTGATATATTCATTCTACGGACGAACTCATAGCCTACTGCAATCGCGTGATCATTCCCATTCCGAGGTATCATGATATATATGCATTGTCGTCTTTTGAAGCCTTAACATTATTTCAGACATTATTGTTGTAGCTCCTTCCCATATGCACAGATATGCTGCACAGCAGAATGATAGATGCAGTGTTGTGGTTTAAGAATGATGAGAAGGTGCATATCTATAGTGTATATGTTGTATAGCTAATACATATCTATAGTGTATGAGTATTAGCTGTGTACAAAGCTGGCTATTAAGAGATCCTCAAAACATTTTGAATTTGCTTTTCATTGTGAAGGCCATTTTTTTCCCTTCATTTTCTGAAACATTCTTGATTTTTTACAAGATAGTAGTATGTTCTGTACTTTCTCAATCTTTTTTAGCTCAAAGAATCAATGTCCCATAATTGGAGTTTGATCATGTAACCACCTATTTAGAATAATAACAGAAGTGTCAACACACTACATGGTAGTTGCCATTTTCTTCCCACTTTCTCTCTCTTATTTCACCCAAAAAAAAAAAAAAATGGTATTATAGTGATGTTCTAAAGCTCTCACACTCATTTGCCACACAAGTTTTTCTTTTTTCCACATATATTAAAAAGTAAAAACCCAATGAAAATCTCCCATTTGAGTGGTCATCAAGAATCTTTAAGTTATCAGAGCAACCTCAATAAAGGGGTTGTGCACAAGTTTTAAGAAAAAAATGACAAGGTGAAGAAGAGAGGAGGGAGAGAGTTGAGTTTGTTGCAGTAAAATGAGAATTTTATCAGTAATGTAGGTTTCATCTGTTTTCTTATTTGCGCATCTCTTGCGTATTGCGCAAAAACAGCGCCCCTTAATTTTTTTTTTTTTTTTGTCTTTCTTTTTTTTTTTTTATCCATTTCTCCTATTTTCTCTTTCTTAATAAAATCCCTTCAAAATCTTTACACTAGTGAGGATGTCCTCATCGTTTTCATAAGGTCATGAAGTTTTACAAATAAATATTTATTTTAAAAAATAATAAATAAATAAATATGTGCGTCGGCTTCAGCTCAGGAGTGGAACTCAAATGTGGTAGTGTCAGCCATCAGCCTTTCCATTTTGATAATTTGATGAATAAACAAATCCATCTCCCATTCATTTCTGACCGCACAATTTCCTTCTCTCATCTTTGCCTAACTTCACATCTATAATTATTTAATTCAAACTCATTTAATCATAATTATAATATTATTTAACTTTATGCCAATCCATATAACTTCATTGTTTAAGTAGAGAAAATGGTAAATGTATTTTATAGGGTATAAATTCCTGCCAAGTGTTTAAATTTTATTGGATGAAAAAAAAAATGAGTGAATAAAAATCATAACTCACTTTCTTTTGTTAACCAATCAAATCATAACTACATATCATTGGGAGTAGAAAATGAGGGTGCATGTAGAATTACTCGTTTAAGTAGCAAACCTTTCGATCACTCTGACATGTTAAGAGATTACAGGTATTTGTTCGTCTTCTTTTGAACATTCATTATGTTTTCTACATTCAAGTTCGTTAGATAGTTGGTTTGATAACTATAAAGTTTTAAGTTTGACTTTTCGCGAGAGCTATTTATTGGCTTTTATGGTTTGAATCGATCAACTATGAGGAATCTGGAGACAACCCCAACCAAGTTGATCAAGTTGGTTAAACAGTTACTTGTGTATTGGTCTTCTTAGTTTGAACTTTGAACTGATTGGCTATGGACAACTTAAGTTAGTTTATCTCATTTGTGATTCTTTACTCGCTAAAATCGCGATTACTAGAGTTTTCATAAATCAAAGGTATAACCAACCTAGGTTAATTTACATTCTTGTGGTTATTTATTTGCCAGCTAGACCACAAGACTGATTTCAACTACGGTATTGGTAATCAAAGTATTTTTTGTAATATGATGTTTTCAACATTCCTCATATTAAAAAGTGCTTACTTTTATATTGTTAGACTGCGTTTTCAGAATTGTCACTATTTTTTTGAAAGGAGAATTGTCACTATTAAAAAAGGGGTATTTACACATTTGGTAGCAATCGTGGATTCTGACGCAAAATATTCGTATGAGTAATTATTTTATTTATTTATTTTCAAAAAAAAAAATAATTACTCATAGGAATATTTTGCGTCACAAACCGTTGCGCCATTTCTTCTCCTAAAAAGTTGAATCTTCAACCCTAAGGGGTCTTTACACCCCGGTCCAACAAAGTATTTGCGATGATGTAAATCACGGTGACTCAATGATTCAGCGAACAGGGTCAAATGCCGATGCGCATAAGGAATCTGTCCACTTTGGATATAATTTTAACACTGCCGCCGCCGAGGTTCAAACCTTTGTCTCTTCTCCCAAATATTGCCCACTGAACCATTGAGCTAAGCCCGTACGGACCCGTTGCGCCAATTCTATTTGTTACGGAAGGAGTATTTTATATTTTTACCTAAACATGGAACGAATTATTGGAATCATTTATATACTCCATATTTTCTTTTATATATATATTAGTACTTATATTGTTGTTGTACTAAAATGTCACAAGCTGCTAAGGACCTTGTGATCCAATGGCACCAAATTGCTCCCTTATATAAAAGGTTGTGGGTTCGAGCTTTAAGCTTAGTGGAGGAAATATTGACTCTATGTGCTCCATTAGCAAGAAAAGGAAATATTGACTCTATGTGCTCCATTAGCAAGAAAATAGCTATGAACAGATACTGCATTGACTCTATATGCTCCATTAGATTGAGAAAGTAGTTATGAACGTATACTACATTGTAATAGAGTCAATAGTATTTTTTTTTAAAAAAAAAGGTCACAAACTCAATTTTTGTTAACATTATATTCTTCTGTTGGAGAATGGAAAAATATATTGTTTATTGATGGTATATTCAAAAATGAAAAAATCATAATCATATATATAGTATCTACTTTAACTGTAACATTATTTAAGGAAGAAAAAAAATTGTAATTGGTGAGAAAAGAATAAAGTAGAAATTCAAATTACGTTATTTAGTAGAGAGAAATAGAATTATTGGAATTGAGAATGAAAAAAGTGATATAAATACAAAAATGTGTTTGTGTAATTATATTAGAATTGCAATTCCTTGGAGAACACAAGTCAAGCCTTGTGTTCGAATCCCACCTTTAGCAATGTACGTCAACGGTCTGGAACCCGAAAGTTCTGACTGTTATGGGGATTGAATTCATCTGTTACGGAATTAATATTCTATTAACTCCAATTTTGAATTCTGAATTTAATTCCCAGGTAGTGACCTGCTGTTATAGCTGTTGGAAGTCAGCTTTAAAGTCAGTTTTAATTGCCATATTAAAAGCTATTTAACTCCTTCATCCCTATATAAGAGAAGGTAGCAAGAATCAGATTTTTACACACAAGAGCACAAGCACTCTACACGAAACTTTGAATTTTTCAAGCTTCAAAATTCTACTTCTACTCCTTCTCTTTCTAAGCCTACTGTGTTCAAAACCTTGCCTTGTTCGCCGGATTTCTTGTTTGGGTACTCAAACATTGAATCACAAGCAAGTTTTATTTTGGGAAGCCTAGGCTACGAAGCTCCTAGCACTTTTGGCAGGTGACAAATAAGGTTTTAAGGAAAGAGTGATCGCTTGACTCTTGCAAAAACCCAACACCAAAAACTAGCCAAATTCTATCTTTCCTTCCCTTGTTTTCCATAAAATAACAATCTTATTTTAATTTGATTATTATTTGTTTCACAACCATATTATAATTAAATGTTTGATATTTTGTCATTGACAATTCTAAAGTCATTTTAAGTATGCCCCCACTCACATAATTTTCTGGATCCGCCACTAACTACGAAGAACGCGAATTCACTTTAACCCGAACAAAATTGAAAGTAAACCTCACATATATTTATATTATACCACAAAATAACCACTTACATGTTATTTTATGCTAAAAGCTTAACAAGTACTTCCTTGTCTAATCTCCTATACGGCGACGTAGCCACGTAGGCAGAAATGAATAAATTAAAGAATAGAAGTCATATATTACCTTCTTCTTCAAAAAAAAATTAAAAAGTCATATATTACCCAAACCCAGCTGGACATATATACCATTCTCCCCCCGCTACGCGTGCACGCAACCATCACAATTAATATTATTATTAAATTTAGGGCTGGGTTTCAATCTTTTGAAAAAATATGATTATTAAACTCGAATCCTCGTTAATTGAAGTAATAACGGTACGATTGTGTGTGATTTAGAGGTTCAAATAAAACGCATGCATGTTTAGAGGGCATAATAAGGTTACGTTGCTGAAATAAATATATTATTAGAGCATCCTTATCAGTTGGGGTTATTAGGGGGAGAATGTAAGAGTGAGTAGGAAAGAGAATAATGTGGGAGGGGAGGGAAAAACAAATCAAAACTGATTTTATAAAAAAATATATATAAAAAATAAGCATGTCATTTCTCTATTGGTTCTTTATCCTTCATCATTAATTATTTTTCTTGGGCAGAGTAATATCCCAACATTTGCATATGCTCCCCACCCCTTCTCTCTCTTGATTCTCTCTCTGCCACCATGGCATTTTGGCCTCAAAAGTAGTGAATTCTCCCCTATTTCTCCTCTGATGTAGATGCTCTTATAGTGCCGTACGTCCAACAGTATATATTATCGTTGAAAATTGATTTTGTACGTTAACTTATTCCATTCAATGCGTACACTGCAATTCAACTTCCAAAAATCCTTTTTTTGGCGAACAAGACCATTCAACACATGTAGTACAGTTCAACGTACAATTTATATCACACGTTCAAAAATGATCGAACAATTTGACTTATTATTATTATTAGGAATAAGGGTCAAATAGGCCATCGAACTGCACAAGATAATGCAATTAAGCCACTGAACCTAAAAAATCAACAATCGGGTCCCTAAACTAACCAATTTCAAACAAATCTTCCAATTTGTAGGTTTCCAACAGGTTAACAGGTCATCCTCCCAAATTAATTATTTTTAAAAAAATAAAATTTAAAAATTAATTATTTAATTAATTAAAAAAAAAAAAAAACTGCCGGAGACGAAGAAACTTCTTCGTCTCCGGCCAGTTTCTTCGTCTCCCCGGCCGGAGACGAAGAAACTCTTCGTCTCCAGCCATGGAGAAGAAGAAACTCTTCGTCTCCATGGCCGGAGACGAAGAAATCTTCGTCTCCGGCCGGGGAGACGAAGAAACTGGCCGGAGACGAAGAAGTTTCTTCGTCTCCGGCAGTTTTTTTTTTTTTTTAATTAATTAAATAATTAATTTTTAAATTTTATTTTTTAAAAAATAATTAATTTGG